AGCTTTGCACTTACTCTAAGAAAAGCAGAGCCTCCCAAATAGAGTTTTTCAGTGTGATGGTTCTAATATATGTCAGTACAAAATACCTGATTTTGTTTGGTGGGGGGCGCATCTTAATTTACTAGATAAGGATGAATAAGTAAGATCGGACCAAATCTACCAATCAACACATTGCAATTTTAACAAATAGGAGTTAATTTTGAATATCCTGTTCATTTAATAGTTAAGCTCTTGAAGGTGGGGCTTATTTTACCCACAGTACCCTCCACCAAACCTGAAACCTGAATGGTGCAGGGTAAAGATTGGATGGATGTCTCAATACTGTTTTGTAACTTGGTATGAAGACAGTTTTTCTAAAAGGTACCACAGTGGAGGAGTTGCAGTGGTGTAAATTACCTTGCCTCCCTCATTGGAAATCTGGGCTATCTAGTATCTGAGTATCTAGTCTTTACCCAGGGCAGGTGAAGACTATGTCACACCATGGAGGAACTCTCTTGGCTGTATAAAGCAAAGCAAACCACAAAGATCTGGTTACTGCAAAGCCGTAGTGAATAGGTTACTAATGAAAAAGTAGTGATATTTTCTGTATTTTGCTCTTTGGCTTTTAAGGTGTCTTAAAAGTGGGCTACACTGAGGTTTTTAAGCAAGAATTGTTCAGTCTGTTCTTTTCACATGTCCTTTGATGTTAGAATTTGAAAGGATTAATTTCATAGCAAACTGTACTATAGAGTTAGGTATCCTTGAAAGTGGATAAACTCAGGCCTTAGAGTCAGTATAATTTACTGCAGCTGTGAGTGAAGCTTTTACCTCATTAACCTTTTTAAAAGACTGTTGTGTTTGTGTTTCCTCTTTACTGTAAAAATGTGAATTCTTCAAGGTGTGGGTTAATTTTATTTCATCTTTCTGTTCATAGCCTTCAGCACAGTGCTTTGCCCATATTGGTAATACATGATTTAGAGAAGATATAAGGGAAAAGAGTAAGATTCCTGCTTTCCAGGAATTTAAGAGGTAGCTGAAATAGTCTAGAGCTTTGGCAACACTGTTAAAATTTGAAGCATCTACCTTTGTCCCCTAAAAAATTTACTTTGATTGCCATAAACTGGCGTAATACTAAGGTCAATGATATAGACTTTGGAGGTAAACCAGCTTAGAACAATATGAACAGATAAGAACTTTCCTGCTTTGCTTGTTCAATATTTTTTGTTGTAACTTTAAAAGGGGTGGGGAGGGGCTATGTATAAAGTTACCAAGAACACTGAATTACTGAACGATTGGTCCTAGGGGAAATACCAGTTTAGGTTTCTGTTCCGGAGACTGTGGTTATAACATTTTCAGCTGATCAGTACATAACCTTGTTTTATATGTGTCTCTATTTAAAGAAAAATAACAATATATATTGTTGATTCATTAACATTGAACTCATGGCTGGTAACAGTATAATTCAGGCTGCGTGAAAACTTACCTAACCACGTGTATTTTCTCTGTAAGGTATATCACAGCCTTTTTGCACATAGGAACATGAAATGACCCTCCAGCACTATGTTTGGAGGACATTTTAAATAGCAAAATCAACAGCAGCAAAAAAAAAAAAAAAAAAAAAAAAAAAAATTCCCTTAAAATTCTGAGGAACATTGTTTCTGAAGTATAATTATATATGTAATTCTCTGTAAGGTATATCACAGCCTTTTTGCACATAGGAACATGAAATGACCCTCCAGCACTATGTTTGGAGGACATTTTAAATAGCAAAATCAACAGCAGCAAAAAAAAAAAAAAAAAACAGAAAAATGTGACACTAACTAGACAACGAAAAGAACACTTCTTTACACTGTGAGGGCTGAAACAGAAGGCAGGGAGTATTGCCATGTTGGACCTCAGCTGGGAACGTGCATACAAAACTCAAAAATTTTGACTGCTTTATATTATATGTCCATGAATGACTGTGAAAGCACCGAAAGTATTGATTTTGGAGTTGCAAATAAATTTTACCAAGTAGGTGAGTTTCCAAGGAACTCTGGTGGTACAGTGCCTGAGACATTTGACTGCTAACCAGGAGGTTGGCGGTTCAAACCCATCAGCCACTCCATGGAAGCAATACTGGGCAATCTACTTACATAAAGATTTGTTGTTGTTGTTGTTAGGTGCCCTGGAGTTGGACCTGAGTCATAGCAACTTCTCCTTGGATTTCCGAGGCGGTATCACTACGGAAGCAGATTGCCCAACCTTCCTTCCAAGGAGTGGCTGGTGGGTTGGCACTGCCAGCCTTCTGGTTAACAGTCAAATGCCTTAGGCACTATGCTACCAGAGCTGCCCCATAAAGATTTACTGCCTTGGAAACCCAGTGAGGATAGCTAAGAGTGGAATTTACTTGATGGTAGTGTGTGTGGTTGATTTTAGATGAATTTGCAAATCCAGAATCTGAATAATGAGGATTGGCTGTACTTCTTAAATGCCATTGTTCATTATGTGTGTTGGACTGAATGATAGATTAGAGGAAGAGCATGCTTACTTCGTTTTGTCAGTCTCTCTCCCTTGAATTTCATCTAGCCTATCTCAATCTCTCTGATTTCTGGAAATTCTGAAATCACATTGTCCTTACTTGTTCTCCAGACAAACAGAAACAAGAAACCAGCAAGTTAAATTAACACAGCCATTTTTGGATGGCTTGAACTCTGGCACAGGCATTCGTGAATGGTCAAATTATGATTTGATTTCATATACTTTCTTAAGGGGTAAGATTAGTTGCTTTGTTTTTTAAATCTCCATTGACTTTAACAGGCTTTCAAAAGGCAGCGAAACACCTGTTGCGTGTGCTGCAGTTCTACTCTGTCCTGAATCGGAATTAATTGATTCAACGCCAGTGAGCTTTGTTTTTGAGTGGGGAGGGGTTTGTGTGTCAGTCACCTTCCTGCAGCAGCAGTGACTGGGGATTAGGATAAAGGTTGAACGAGATATCCTCCACAGGATTTATTAGCTTAATGCACCACAATAACAGCTTGACAAGAAGTCCTGAGCCAAAAATCAGGAGTATTATCTATAACTGTTCTGTTAAGTATATATTGAATATTCAGGTGACACAAGACTAATTATACTCTTTGAATTAATTTTTGGGTGATAGCTTTTGATTCTTCCTCCATGTTTTCCATCTCAATAAATGACAGTACCCCTCATCCGGTCATCCAGAAAAGAAACCTTTGATTCTCCCCGAGTTCTGAAATATCTTCCCAATCCCCATACTTCTCTCCAGCTCCATTGTTACCATTCAGGCTACACTCTCTGGATTACTATAACATCCTCCTAACTTGACTTTCTTCATCTAGTGTTAGTTTCCTTCCAATCTGTTCTTCATTTTATAGGCAGGATGATCTTTTAAAAATGTAAATCTGGTCATAGCCCTAACCTGCTTAAAACCTTTCAATAAATCAAAGGCTCTGGTTTTTGCCTATGTTTCAAGTCTTCATATTTCACTTATTACACTCTTAAACTGCCCACACATCTTATGTCTTCAGTGTTGTGCTGACTTACTGCTTAGTGGAATGTTTCCATTCCCTGCCTCTCCCCTCCCCCAAACATTCTTTACCCACTCCACACCCTCACCATAATCCTTAGAGTCTGAACATCTATGAGACTTTCTCTAAGATGTATTCCTGGACTACTAAATGAGGTTAGGACTTCCTCTGTGTATATCCATTGGAAAATTATTAGCTCTTTATTTAACTTTTTTCCTTTCTGAGCTATAAATTGATGAGTCACCACTTTTTTTACAGCTTAGGCCAGTAGCAGTTCTTGTCACGTACATAATACGTTTTAGTTTGTCATTATTTGGTGAGCTCTACATCATAAAGAGATCTATGATGTGGCAGGAGTGTGCACCAAGGCCCATAATGCTAGATACCCCATTTTGCTGAATGAATGTTAGCGTATCCTTTAAATTGGAGTTCTGATGGCATCGTGCCTAAGGCATTTGACTGCTAACCAGAAGGCTGGCTGGCGGTTCAAACCCACCAGACACTCCTCGGGAGGAAGACTGGGCAATCTACTTCCATAGAGATACTGCCTCGGAAACGCAAGGAAGGGTCACTATGAGTCAGATTCAACTCTCGACAGCAGTGAGTGATCCTTTAAATAACACAATTATCCCTCATATTTTAGTGTATCTTAATAACATTTTATTGGAGCACAGTTTCACTTACTTGTTTATATATCCTTTGTAGCTACTTTTCCACTACAGAGCAGAGTTGAATAGTAATGACAGACCTACAGTACAGCTTGCAAAGCATAAAATATTTATCTTAATGACCTTTTACAGAAAAAGTTTGCTGACCTCTTCTTTAAATAATTTCTGTGATATGATAATGGACAAATATAGTTAGACATTTTTAAATCATATCTAAGTGTCTATTCCCCACCCTTAGAGCTTACGTGTGACCAGTAAGAGAATATCATTTGAGTCTGGCAATTATATTCCAACCTCTGTAACTTATGCGTATCTAAAGTTTTTTGAAACTTGAGCATTGCAGATTAGACACTAAGAAAATAGAAACTTCAAATTCTGCAAAATAATTTAGACAAAATAAGAATGAATAATTCGCCACTCTGCGCCGCTCAGTCTTACCCAATTTGGGCTAAAATGAGTTGTTTCTTAAATAACATTCTGACTTTTCAAATTTATTTTTTTAACAGTTCAAGAGAAAAGCAGAACAATTTTTTTATGCCATTTGATATGACCATCATAATAAGATGCTGAAGCCCTCTTAAAATTTTTGAATAATTTTTGCCAATATGTATTGTGCAGAAAAATAACCTCAACCATGTTTTGGTTGTATAATCATTTCACTAATGATTGGATAGAACTTTATTTGTTAGGGTTGTCATTAGATAATACAGAACCTTTATTTTATATCATTTAATAAAATCAAATGGATTTTACAACATTGTTTACATTTTGTTTAAAATTATTTTATTGAGAAAATACTTAATTGACTTTGTTTTATTTTTAGGGTTATATCCTGTGTTGTGACCTCATGGTTTAAGTGGGAATAAAGATGAGTATAAGCAGTGATGAGGTCAACTTCTTGGTATATAGATACTTGCAAGAGTCAGGTGAGTACTTTTATAAAGTAAATAGGCCTCAAATTATTTTAATATTCTCAAAATACCCTTTTATGCATTTGAAATTTGTATCAGTCCAAACCGTTGAACTTTGTATGTTTCCCTAATGTCTGGACTGCTATTTTAAAGCTATGTGTTGCTGCATGGTTTAACTCTCTGACTCTTTCAAATATGTTAGAATCACCTCAGGCAAATATTGTAACAAAAGGTTTGACTTTCACTGTTAAAAAGCCACTTTTATAACTTGTTGTGCACTGAGACTATTGCATATGGTTAATAGGAACATATAAATTCTCAGATACCATTAATTTGGTAATGTATGTTTAGAATCTTCTGTTAAATGTTATTGGTCCTAATTGCAGTTAGCATTTCAAAAGTTAAATTACCAGTATTTTTTCAGAATGCTTTCATAAGTGTTATTACAATTGATTAAGTATAACCTGATCTGAATTCTTATTAATATTTGGTGGGTGATAAGTAAATCATTTGTAATAAAAAATAAATACATGGTTATCCAAGTTTTCTAGACAGATTATATTTTCTAAGACATATAGTCAGAAAATAGAAGTAATAGTGTAAGGGGAAATGTAGAAAATAGAGTGAGGAAAATGTAAAAGTAGAAAAAGGAGAATAGACATCGGTAGGGTTGTCAAATAAAAAAACCAAACTCCCTGCCGTCGAGTCTATTGCGACTCATAGTGACTCCTTGGGTTTCCAAGGCGGTATCTCTAAGGAAGTAGATTGCCCAACCTTCCTTCCAAGGAGTGGCTGGTGGGTTTGAACCACCAGTTAGCAGTCAAGTGCCTTAGGCACTGTATGCCACCAGGGCTCCCTGCTTGCCATGTTAAGGGCAAATTGTTAACATGAAATAGCATCATTTGGTAGTTAAAAATACAGCTGAGAGATTGGATTTTAGAAATAAACCTGAAAGTTACCAAATGTTTTATTAGTAAGATGTGGTAGCATGGTACACTGAAACGTGGGAGAGCTAAAGCTCAATGAGGCTTCCTTGTTTTTCCAGGTCTCACAAGTTTTCTGCCTTTGACAGGATGAAGCCTTACCACTTTTCTATCACTACTAGTGGAAAATATTTATAATAATTTTGGTAGTGGTGTGGCGGAGGATACAAGGAAGAGAATAGAGGTCTAAGCTGTAGGACAGTGAGGACAAGGAGGATCTTACTGAGCCCTCAATTTATAGTTTTCATACTTCAGTCATTCTTACTATAGAATTTAGCTAGTTGGCCTTTCTAATACAGGGAATGCAAATGTGGCCTTAGGTCAAACTATAGACTGACTGCTTGCTCATGTAGTTCCCAACTGCACTCTAGTTCTAAGACTTTCTCCTGGGTTTTCTATTTTCAAGCACCATCACTGTCTCTCTCTGGCCTGGAATAAAATGGATAATGCAGCAAGGGGGGGAAAGAGGGAAGAAACTAAACTTAAGAAATCATAGGACATTAACTTGTTATGAAATTTTTGAGATTAATGAATTTTTATTTATTATCTAATTTTTAAACTGGTATTGAATGCAGATCCAAGAGGGATGTCCCAAAGAATGTTTGAACAAGAAAAGTGATTAATAAAATGAAAAGCTAGTGATCTGATGATTGGTATAAACATAAGTTTAGAAATGGTTGTACAGTACTTTTGATAAAAATGGAAATAATTTATTGGATCAAAATTAAACTGTGCTTTCTGCCTTTGCATCAGACCACTGTTGAAATCAGAGATCTGAAACTTTGGACACTGAAACAAAAACCATTGTTTAGGATCCAAGGGATAAGAATAAATTTATTATAAAGGCTTCTTTTGTGTATTGTAAAGGCAACTTTTTATGTTGAACCATATGAAGTTGCTCTTTGTGGTCAGAAATGGTTAAATAGCTCAGCAGTGTCCTGTGGGACCCCCTATGCTGTGAAGAAACAGGGCAATATGAGGCTACACAGGCTAATATGTCCACAAGTCATCAGTTTCTGAACAGCAGACCAGAAGCTGGTGTTTTATGTTACTACAGGAAAATAGAGTGAGCAATGCAATACAGTAATACTCTGGGTTAATTTCTGAAAAAGTGATTAAGTATCATCAAATTAAATATTATGAAAGGCTTCTTAGAGTTGCTTATACTCTGAGAAAAACCCTTCTCAGTGCTATGTGTTAAGGTGTTTTATGTCACGGTGGAAAAAAATGAAAGCCAAGAATTATATGTATATATGTATAAAAAGAACTTTGTGTGATGGACTGACGTTTATTGTATTAAGTCCCTTCTATTTGTTTACTGTGTTCTTAGATGTGCTTTTTGTATTCTTTATAATACTGATGAGGAGGTAATGATCTTAAGTAATATCCCTAAAAATGTGGAATACCAGTCCCTTGATAAAAATTGTAACTTCCTATTTACATTATGATTTGTATGGGAAAATCAGATTCAGCTGACATTTTTATTTATGGCAGTTTTTCTAGGAGTATAGTTTTCCATAAATTGCTTATACCAGAGTTCTGAAAGTTTGACCACCTGCCTCAGAATCACTCTGAGAACAACAGTGAGGCCCAAGAATACACATTTTATAAAAGCCCCAGGTGATTCTTAGGCACAATGAAATTTGAAAGCCATTGATCTGTATTAGTTGTAGGACAGAACTTGACAAGAGGTTTGTAGCATGTTCATAGTATTTTAAAAGAAAAAAAAACACACTTAGTAACAATACAGGATTAAATAGAAAGAATGAAATGGACACATTATGATTTGGAGTTTGAAAATATGTCCTAAAGAGGAGTTGCCATTATTAAATTTGTGGGCAAGATTTAATAGGAATGCAGAGGCATGCTTATGTCATAAAGGGTGCCATGAGTCATTTGTTTGAACTTACTTTGAGAAACATGAGATGAGAAAGACTAAGAATGGTTAAGTGCTGAGCTGCTAACCAAAAGGTCGGCAGTTCAAACTCACTAGCAGCTCCACGGCATGTGGCAATGTGCTCCCATAGAGATTACAGCCTAGGAATCCTATGAGACATTTCTGCTTTGTCAAAGGGGTCACAATGAATCAATGACACACAATAGCAACAATGAACACAGGGCAGGGTTCAGATAGCTCATAATATCATCTAGTGAATGCTTGTAATGGCTTTACGTTTGGACATGCTCTTTCTTGCTTCTGATCTCCAATTTTATATACAAATGGACATTTTTGCACTTGATTCTATCTTAGAATCACCTAGTCCAGTAATTGTTTTTCCTGGCTGTTTTGGGAATTCATCATATTTATCACAGTAATTTCTAAAGGATATTTATTGAGAAATATGACATAAATTACTTTTAGGTCGTAAATATTTCTCTTGAAAAATAAAGTAATTCAGAAGAAACTAAAATTTTAATATTGACTTCTTGCTTATGAAAGGAGCACTAAATTGGATTAGGAGATAGGCAGAAAAGGAACCTTCATGGCAAAGAAAAGATCTACACAAAAACAATCAAAATGCTGGTCTATAAGAATACCAAAAAGAAAACAAATTTTCTGTTTTGCCTTTCTCATTAGATAAGGTCAGAAAATCCAAAACACACCTTATGAAAGTTTTGTTCTATTTAGATAAACATGTGGTTTAGACATAATGTTTTTCAGTAAGAATTTTCAAAAGTAGTTCTCTGTTCAAAACTCAAAATCATTTGGAGGGGGAAAAAAAAGGGGGGGGGAAGGTTGGGACCAGGTTTGCTGGTCCAATAGAGCCTGGTGGAACCACTGAGACTATGGCCCCTAGCTGCCCTACAGGTCTGGAATTGAGACCACACCTGTGGTTTCCAGCCAAGCAAAGTACAGGTATGTGAGTTGAACATTTACCTCAAATGGACACATGCCCTTGAAACAACAATCATGGGAGAAGGAAGGGCACCTTATGCACAGGGAGACAGCTTAGGGGGCAGGGGAGTATGGAGGGATGGACACCGGGAAGTGGTACCTTGGGGAGGAAATTGGAGGGGAGCTGTTGCATTGTGGTAAACTGTGGTCAATGACATGAGACAAAGTATATGTGAACTGCTGTATCGAGAGTGAACTTGCTCTGTAAATCTTCACCCAAATCTAAATAAAATAAAATTAAAAAAAAAAAAAAAAAAGTAGTTCTCTGTTTAATGTTGCCTGGACTGTGGTATCCATCTTCAGTGGGACTATCTTAAATACTTTATGCCATGTGGTGATCATCCTATTCTGACTTTTATCAATACTAGAAGATATTACCTGTTATAAGCCCTTCCCACGTGAAACATACATAGCGTTTCGTTATCCGTGAAATCTGTTGTTTGTTGAAAATGAGATTACATTATGATATTTGGCCTTAAGTCTTAATGGACTTGCCAGTTTGAAATAAGCTGTCTCCACCCACCAGAACTAAAAAAGAGAAAAATATATTTATTATAAAAAAACTCACTGCCATCAAGTCAAACCCAACTCATAGCGACCCCTCCTTGGGTTTCCGAAGCAGTGTCACTACGGAAGTAGATTGCCTAACCTTCATTCCGAGGAGTGGCTAGTGGGTTTGAACCGCCAGTCTTCTGGTTAGCAGTCAGATGCCTTCCTTAGACATTATGCTACCAGAGCTCCTATATACTATATTATGTTGTTGTTGTTGTTGTTATTTGTTGTCGAGTTGGACCCGACTCATAGTGACCCCTCCTTGGGTTTCTGAGGCATCATCACTACGGAAGTAGATTGTCCAACCTTCCTTCCAAGGAGTGGCTGGTGGGTTTGAACCTCCAGCCTTCTGGATAGCAGTCAAGTGCCTTAGGCACTATGTAACCAGAGCTCCTATACTATATTATAGGATGTTTTATAAAATGCTGTAATTTTTCAAATTTTATCAGTTTTATCTCTAGAAAATTCACCTTAAACAAACCACTTTGTTCCTCACTGTTCTGCACTTTTATGAACCAGAGTTCAGTATTCAATAGTTATTTCCTAGGGAATAAAATTAGTTATTTTTTTCTCTTTTGAGATGA